ACTGCGTTTGTGTTCCAGGCAACGGGAGGAAAGCGGCACAGGCAGGGCTATACCATTGGAGGGGCTGACTGAGCCGCTGAGGCCAGGTAAAGGTGCACACACCCCCCTGGCTGAGGCCCAGGAAAACCCTTCATTTACACTATCTAATGGCGTGGTGGGTTCAAGGGTCACTCTAGGTATCAGACCAGGTGATAACCATTTCAGACTTCGTAGAAAAATTCAAAAGGGAAGAGTAGCTTGTCAACTTTGCTGATAATAAAAGACTTGATTGCTGACATTTAATTTTTGTACCTGCTGGTATAAAAATTAGTGCAGTGTTGGAAATAAACAGCACTGCACTGAACCCCATTGAAAACCTGGTTATTCCAACAAATATTGATTTCTGAACTCTTCTTGAGTTAATTATTTCAAAATGCATATGAACTCGTTTTCTTTACATCATTTGAGGTCTCCAAGCAATCCAACTTTTTCATTATTTTTGACCATTTCTCATTTTCTGCACAGAAATACTAAAAATGTGCTGAGAATTTCCGACGTGTTGTCAGTAGTTCATAGAATAAAAGAACAATGTTCATTTTTTCCGATAAAAAGATCAATTTAAGTGGTCTCTTAACTTTTCCAGAGCTGTATGTGCAGCCAAGATTGAGGAGCCTTGTGATGTTTATCAGAAATGTTAGCATTCCTATTTCGGTAAGAAATTTCCTTGAAAATTCACCATGACTTTATACCTCTTATTTACAAAATATTATTAAAAGAAGCCATATTAAACCCAAAAAACATAAAAAGGATTATCATTTCTGCTACCTGAGAGTGCAACTGTTAAAACATGGGACTGTAGTACAGCTTCAGAGTCTTCAGTCAGAAGCACTTTCAGATTTGTTGTGAGACTGACTGCTTACAGAGATCAGTCCTGACATTTGGGATAAATTACTTTATTTTTTAATTGCACAATGAATACTTTACAAGCGATAATAAGACTTATCTTGTTCATTATTTATCCTATTTACTGACCTTTATCTTTTTGTCTCCTGCCTCAGTTTACAACAGTCTAGAAAAAAAAGCCACTAAATGGATAATTAAATGTTCATTCTCTCTCTATGGCTGCAGTTCAGTCATTTTATGAGTGATAATGAAGTGAAATGTGCTTTATGACAATCCATCCTTGCTCCATCCTTATCAGGAAACTTTCCATTTAGAAATGATTGCACATGAGTTTTTGGAGCCTGATAAGAAGAAATGAAATCCTGTGTTTGTGTGCACATGCTCGGTCAATAACTTTGATTCTTATAATGCTGTTGCAATCCATGTGGTTCCACTGTTTTTATTGCCTTCAATCTTTCAGCATAAATAACAGCTGGTTGTGCAACACCTCTGTGCTTTCCTTATGTAAAACATGATAACTGGGCGACCGATTAAAACTTAAAGGCATATCCTTGCTTAAGTAAGACAGAGAACAGACCTGTCTTTTCCTATAATGCATCTGCATTGTGTTTTAGAGAGAAAGTAGACACAAAATTGAGCTAATGTTTTTTTTTGTGAGTTGTAAATCCATGTTGCAATCGCCCATTGAACAAGAAACTAGCCCACAGCATCACAGAACCTTCACTGTAGCGAACAGTGAGCATTTTGTTAAAATCGCAGCAGCATTTTGTTGAGTCCATTTATCAATAATGTGCTCATCTCTTTCTCATTTTGAAGAGTGTCCAATTGCTATTTTCTAGAAACTCTGAGGACTTCCTAAAGTCTAAATCACAAAAATTATTTAAGTAAATTTGATACGGCATAGTTATTTGGTGTGTAAATAGTGTGTATGAGTTATTTAAATAAATGTAAAGTTGGATTTTCCTTCTACTTTTTGTATGTGATTGTGCTGGAGCAATAAAAACCTAATTTATTTTCAATGTTTTTACTTTTATAAGTCAGTTTTATGCCACCATTGTTTACTGGCTCCTGGGCGAACACACGTAAGTAGCATTCAATGACCACTAGAGGGCAGCATCATATTTCCCCTCTTCACTCCACCTCTGGGTTTCAGCAAACAGCCTTGCAGATGGTATTAGTCGCACTTGACTGTTATTTACTTTGCATATAAAACGTCAGCAGAGGAGACAGGACTTTCTTTTTCCTGTTCTGCTTGATTATTGATCAATCATCATTATTAGATCCTTTAATAGTACTTTTGTGATGTTTACATTAAATTGTGAATTTAAGCAGTTCTGCAAAAATGTGGCCAACAGTTTCAAAGTTATGCTTCAATGTGAGCCGCTGTGAAGTGACTGGGAATGTCCACTGGAGGGCAGCACCACATTGTTTTTTTGTTTTTTTCACTGCTGCCTGGTGATTGTAGCTGAAAGCTCAGTTTGTTCAAACAGACAGCCTTGTTAAACAGTGTGAATCTCACCTGACTGACTCTCTTATTTGTCCTGCCAGCAAAGATTTCTCTTTGCCAGATTCAGTCCGTCTCCACTGGACGGTGTAATTCATTGCTAATGTGACGCTCACAGAGTGCGCAAGCCATGCTAAATTACAAACCAATCACTCTTATTATTCATTTAAATCAGAAACAAATATTTTACCTTCCCATTAAGTGACTTGTATCGCTTCTAAACACAGTAGAAAGAAGAGTCAAGCTAATAAAATCTAATTTTCCTTGAGATTAAAAGAAGAGTCAGTGTAATCATTAATTAAATCTATCTTAAATTAAATTAAGATCTACTCACTAATGGTTAATGAAGTAAGAACAACAAAAACAATCACAGTGATACTACACTAATGCTGAAATAGATTAAACAGCAATCTTGTAGCTCAGCAATGAACCCCTAAAATGTTGTGTAACTTTTTAAAGTCTAAGATTAATCAAGCATTTATCAGTCTCTTAAAGGGGCAGCACTGTTTATTTTCCAGACACCAAGTGTCATTTTACTGCACAATCCAGTAACTGTTCATCTTAGTTACAAAAAATGCTACATATCAAATATGACGGAAAATAATTTTGAGTTTGTAATTTAACGCCTTCAAATTGGGCCTCTGTCTCTTAAAAAAAATAAATAAATAACTCCTGCTTTCACTGAAACTCCACCTTCAGGAAGTTGTCACAACATGGCTCCTCTATGAGTTCAGTCGATGCGGATGTTCCACTGACTAGATGTTTGCTTAATGCTGCTTGGCTAGTCTGAGCAGGGGATGGCTGCTCCGTGGGTTGGAAGCTCAGTCGCTGGGAGACTGCAGTTCTGAGGAGGAGCTGCGCCTTGAAGGCGGGGCTAGGTCCACCCAGGTGTTTTGAACAGCTGACTGCTTGCCATGGAGATTTAAAAAATTCTCAAACATGCATGAAAGAATCAAGGCAACAGTCCGAGTATGTTTTCAATGAGGGAATAACATTAAAATATGATCTAAAACTAAAAACCAAATTGTAAGTCAAGGTAATTACTTTGACAATTTTTAATAAAAAAGTTATTTTCTGATGCAATTTCACACAACACAGCTATAGCTTCAAAAACTGCTGTGAGAACAAATTAAACTCATGTTTTTCTGTTAGCAGAAGTAAGTTCTTTTGAATACAAATTCAGTTCGGTGTGTGGCCTCTGTTAGTACAGTAGATAAATGAGACTGTTGAATCAACAGCTGTATTTTGTCTTCTTGCAGGAGTTGCGTGTGTGTGTGTGTGTGTGTACACATACAACAGAGGGGAAACACTCAACCAGTATATAACGAAAAGGTCAGCATACCATATTTGCATTTCTTCTCATCTGGTCACATTTGAAATTAATGCAATGCTTTGTTTTTTCACTGATCTCGACAGTGAAGTCTAGCAGTTAAACAGTGACGACCAGAGACTGTCAAAGCTAATTATTCATGCTTGACTTAGTTTAAAACGTTCAATTATTTAAATCTAAAACAATGGCTGTTGTACAGCTTGGTGCATTTACAATCAGTCTACCATCACTGGTTAGATGTGTGGTTCCCATGGGAAGAATACATGATGAATCTGTTGGATAATAATTTACATTTAGTCAAACAGAGGCTGTAGAATTCAGAGAACAACCACTATATTGTATGTTAATGTTACTGTGGTTCTACTTATGTCAATAATTGTAACCCCTGATTTGTGTATTTACATAGTAACTGGACATAAGCTTTAAAATCTCTTTTAAAAAGGTGATATGAGCTCTGTAACTGCAATGCTTGAATTTTTCAAGTATTGGCTACCACGCTGTTTCCGGTTTTGTCTTTCAACTTCAAAATAAAAGCACTAAAATGAAATTTCTAGCGAAGACCTGCAAAACTCGCAGAATAATAGAAAAACCAATATATATATATATATATATACATACATACATACATATATATATATATATAAACCAAAATATACAAATTTATATATATATATATATATATATATCAACTTCAATCGAACCAATACACATTAAGACAATAAAAACTGAGAAATAGCATTTTGCACTGAGTCCCTTTACTGAGATCATTTTGAAACCAAGCTGTCTGTCTGTGTCGAGAGCAAATCAGTAAAAAACTGATGCATGCTTTCTTTTTTATCAGTACCACTGATACGTCATTTGACACGTTTACTGCTACAATAGTTCAAAAATTATGTACGTGAAGTATGTAATTTTGAGATCTTAATTTCAGAATTCTGACTTTAAATTCATGTTCTCAAGCATTGCTTACATCTCTGTCATCAAAGCTATTTGCTTCCTGGTGTTCATCTGACTTAAAGTTAGAATTATGAGAAAAATATCTGAATACAGAGGGGGAGGAATTAAAGTCAGATTATTTTTTCATTTGCCTTAATCGTCTTTTGTCAATTGGCTTTTATATTGTCCTCCTTTTCTATAATTTCTTAAGGTTACATGTTCCAAATATTTATTTTCTATTAGCTTGATGAACTTTATTATGAAGGGCTTTTCCGGATGTGACTTTGTCCCCTTGCGGAACTCGGCTGCTGTCGCCTCGTAGCTTCTCTCACAGTACCAGCAGTGGCTGCTGCAACGGATGGACGCTTACCGTGGGGAGCCACATCAACGAGGGACTGCTTTACTCTACAGTTAGCTTTCAATGGGAAATAGCGACATTTTTTCAACCTGAGGACATTTCATCTGGGCGAAGAAGCAATTTTTCTTTCTTTTTTGTTTTAAAGAAGTCGATTCGCTTCCCTTTTCTTCCCCTCAACACACACACAAACAGATCGATTGCCCGTCGTATGAAAAAGGGCGTGTGTTCGGGGTGAGGGGTAGTTTGTTGAAGATTTCATGAGGGTATTTATGGTGTGCTAGATATTCTTTTTACACACCACCTGGGTCTGAAGGACGTAGTGGAGAATGGGGTGCACGTTGAGTACCGAGGACAAGGCGGCGGTGGAGCGCAGTAAAATGATCGACAGGAATCTGCGGGACGACGGGGAGAAGGCGGCCAGGGAGGTCAAGCTGCTGCTGCTCGGTAAGGAAGAGAGCCGAAGCTGGGGAGTGTGGACCGGGCGGGGGGACTCGGCTAACTTCTTTATGTGTTTGAAAATAAATTATAATTAAAAAGAACCCTTTAAAAAACAGTTCTTTTATTTTTATTGCTGAATGTTAGTTGTGAATTTAAATGTTTGGGGTTTTTTTGTCAGTTCGCACCGTTAGCACCCCCACCTTTTTTTTTTTTTTTGCTAGCTCAAGTTAACCGTTAACTCTTGACTTCTTCGTGGTTTAAGACACGGTGAAACATCTGTTCTAACCCTTTTTGTTACTTAAACATCAATTGCTTTGACTCATTTAGTGGTAAAGTATCGTTTCAAGACTTTTTCTTCTATTTTGGGGGTTTGACTTGCATTCATTTTAAGTTTTTTTCTTTTTTAGTGCTATTAGCCTCCTCTGCAGACCGTTTGACTAAATCCTCCCAACAATGGCACATTTCCTCGACTAGCAGTGGAAGTCAACTTGATGCTCATTAGGAGCCCAGGCCTGAGTTATTGTGACTGTGTTTCAGTTAGACTTTTTCAGCTTTTATTTTGGTTGTAGAGGACATAAGGCCGAGTATCTAAAGGGCTGAGCAGTTTTTCCTTCACTCCATTGTAATGACAGAGGCACAGCCAAATGGGGGCTGAAAGGAGGCTGTGACCACCCCTATAAATATGTATGAAGGCTAATTTAACAAGAGTTGTATATCAAAGACTCTTTAGTATCGGATGAGAGCCCTCAGAAAATATTGAATTCAATCACCTCAATTTTTACCTAAAAATGCAAAAAAAAAAATTCTTGACTTCTAATTTAGTTTAAATAGCTTAAATTTATTTATTTGTTTGTCTGTCTTTGATTAGTTTGTTTTTTCTGTGTTTGATTTAAATTAATTTGTGTAGTTCTGGTTGAGAAGTTTGGAGCTTTTTACATTGTACAGACCAAGAGCATCAGGATGCAGAAAGAATTTATTGCTGAAAATTTAGTTTGTTGTTCCCACAAAGATATAAAAGAAATTTGTTTGTCCTTTTTATTGTTTGTATGAGATCAAAAATATTTTCCTACCATATCCCAGGGTTTTATTGTTTGGGTTTTTTTTCTATTTTTTTTTTTTTTTTACCGAAATTCCCTTTTATTCAAATTAGATTTTTATAAATTCAGTAAAGGAAGAGATTCCTAGTTTGATTATATGTGTATATTAAATGAAGTAGTATTTTGAGTGAAGTGTACAACTTCCACAATTAAGTTGTACAGAAAGTGGAGTTTTTGTCATTTTAATCTAATGCTTTGGTGCTGATCTTGTCTTTAAAATAGAAGAATTTTGAATTTTGCACAGCCCCACTTACTGCTTTATCTATTTTTTTTATTTTTCCACACCAACACTTTAATGGTATGTACCATATACATATGGTTGCCTGTTTTCCAGCGCAACAAAAATGCTACCAACAGTAGTCAACAAACGGCAGACCGTAACATACAGATTTAGTTTTTATATATATTGTTCATTTGTCATTTTTATCTCCCCATATTATAACAAAAGCTTCCTGAAGTTCTGCTTTTGGGTTTTGTGCCCCCCATCAAGCCACCCCTTTAGAAAAAACCTTCTGGTTATGCCTCTCATAATTATATTTCTGATTTTAAATGCTTGTTTTGGGTTTATCTCAAGTTCAACACTGAGACGTAAGCTGAAATCTCTTGTGCAACCGGTTCAGTAAATTACATCTTCTGTTGTGAAACAAAGTTTGATTTATATGAGCCACATGAACAGCAGTTTCTTAGCGCTATTGTCTCTTATCACCTTAAATAACCAAATCTCCTGTCATTACCATTCCATTTCTCCAGGGAATAACATTTTAACTGGTTTTGTGCATCCAAATAATTTCCAAAACCACCAAGTGTTACGCCTATTATTTCAGTAAAAAAAGAAAAAAAGACCTGTCACACACCACACCCTGTACACACTTGTTCATGTTGGTGTTATAACCTAATAAATTTTTATGCGGGTTATTTGCATTTGGAAGGCAGTTCTGTGTAAAAGTGTGCATTGCCCATGTTAGTGGAAACATTTGCTTCCCTTGTAAATAAAATGGCAGCAGGTGAGAAGTTTTCCATGGGTTCCATAGGTAGCTTGCTTTGGGAAGTGTTGACATGCACACATGTTGGTATGTGGGTTAGCAGGACACAAAGTGTGAGACCTGTATCAGTGGCAGGGAAACACCTGACCGAGGCTAAATAATAGGAGCTCTCAGCAGCTTTTCTGGGTGTAATTGTGGGCCAGCGCAAGACAAACACTATTCCTCATGTGTTTTTTGCTGATCTGTACAAAAAGAAATCCCAAAGATTACTGAGTCATGCTTCAAAATGCCTAAACGGTTTATTCAAGGTTGGATAAAGTGTCTGTTTTGCCTTGTTTGAGTTCGAAATGAGACATTTTGGTGTCGAAGGTAAACACATTCCTCCTGCACTCTGGAACCAGACGGGACTTGCTGATTGAAAGTAAGCAAGTCAGGTCAAGTTGTTGTTAACGTTCCTGAAGGCTTCAGCGCGACTTTTCACTAACCATTGCATAAACACACAGAAACCATGTGACGCTGCTGAATAGTGGGTAGCGTGGCGCCGCCGTCGCTTGTGTTTGATCCGAATGCCGAGGTAACCAGGTAACCCGCTCAGCCTCTTCGGGTTACGGGCCTGGACAGAGGCCGCAGAGAGCCTGTAAGATGAGAACATCTAATGAATAGTACATGGGAAAAACACAAAACCAGAGCTAAGAGTCTGAACATAAACAGATGCAGAAAAGGACATTAATGTGGAAGTTGCTGATTCACAAGCAGCTCAGCCGTGTTTTACTCTAAGCGCATCCTGTCAACGGAGATAAAAAGGTCAACAAAGGGAAGCAACAAACATGGATCGAATGTAAATGGGTAGTTTGGCTGAAAGGAGGCAGGGGGTTGTGTATCTTGTGGCTTTGACCCCTTTGCTCAAAGTGTATGTACATAAAAATAATCTAGTGAAACACACTTTAGTGTAATATTGGTGTAGGCTACAAAAGAACACTAAAGTTTTGGTCATTTTGAAGTTTAATCAGTTTTTTTTTGTAATTAAACAGCGGCAATCTTTTCAAATTATTCAGAAAGTGCAGTTGGGAATTCTAAATATAAAGTAAAATAAATAAATCTAGAATTTTTTTTTCAATATAAGGACCTATACAGATATCGACATCAGATCGGTGCGTCTCAACTTCAACCACCAAAATTCTGTAACTACATTTTTGACTTGATAGCTGTGGAACGAAGGCTTGTAGAAAGTACTGAAGATCAATTTCTAACCGTCTGGACATTCAATATAATATTTCCACCTTAAGCAGAGTGAGGACCATCTATTTTCTCCAAAACAGCAGATTAACTGAGACAGAAACTTTTTTGAAATCGTCCCAGTCAGACCGAGGGTTATAGGATCACTTCTTCTTGTTGAATCATTGAGGTTTTTTGGTGGAAGCTTTGGAATATTATTCCCTCTTGATTTGGATGCTACACAGCTAGAAGGTATTTGTGCTTTTGCTGTTTTACTTTTGTAGCTACAAGGCAACAAGGTATCGTGTTTACAATTGGAAGCAGGTATTATTTGAAAAACTCAAATAATCTCTGAACTACGATCCCAAACTCCCAGAGGAGTTGATGACCAAGCTTCAGGGATGCAGAGAGAGAAGGAGGTAGTTCAAACTACCTCTTTCATCGATCAGGCAAGAATTGCATCCCAGAGTCTGTGGTCTTTCTGCCAGACAGAGATTGAAGTAGGTGTGGCAAAAGCAAATGAGGCACATTAGCAAAGTTCAGGACATAATCAGACATATCTGGCTGCACAACTTTTTGAAGATACTTGGATGATATAAATCACAATATAATTTAAAATTCCAGTTTCTACTCCACTGCAGCTAATAGCCAGTTGTTAAATGCATTACCTTTATTAATGTTAAAGAAAAACGAGTGATGCTCCGCAGCCAGAAATGTTAACATTAGCTTAAGTCTTTATTATGCGAGGCCTGGGTTTATTTCAGTGAGACATAAATCCAGCAGTCATTTCATGATTTTGTTTTTAGATGTATTGCAAACTGTTAGAATTTTGGGCTAATGATTTCTTCACATCAAAAAGCTGTTTTGTTTAGTTTTTTTTTTTTTTTTCATTTCTACCTCCATGTAAACCCATAACAGTTTTCTCCCCACTCACTGAAATGCTTCTGTTTATGGTGGTGGTGGTTGTTTGGTTCTGGTATCATTATGGCATGAAGCTGAACTTAGCATTTGAAATGACAGAATATTTGCGTATTACCTTCTTGCCTGTCGGCGTTTTCACGAAGCTCTCCTCTTCGTTTTGTTCCTGCTGTATTCCCATCGTCTTCAGGACCCAATTATCCTGCTATTCATATCTACACACTGAAATAGATTACAATCTCCTCAGCCTAATTACTCTTTCTATAACTGTTATGCAACTGTGGGCAGAATTTATTAATAGCCCCTGGTGTTTCACTGACTTTTTTATTGTGCTCCTTTGGATGTCCCCCAGTTCTTTGTTTTAAAATTGACGCAACAAGCAGCCAGATCAAACTTTCTGTCTTTTTTTCACTCGTTGGCAGCTGGAACCCTGTGATTAACCGCGGTCATTTCTCCCCGTTGGGTAGCACCGCTCGCCAGCTTCTGGAAACCTTCACCAGTGACTCATGCTTGAATCCACCCAGAGGGAGATGTAGGCAAAAAAAGAGGAATCAGATAGTGAGCAAGAGGAACAATCAATCATAAAGGAAGAAAAAAAAAGACTTCAGGGGGACAGAAAGAATGTAAAAGAGGAAGAGAAATGCGTAAGACTGGAAAACGAAGCTGCTAATGTGTCGAGGACATTGAGCCAAACTCTTCAAATGTTTATCTTGATGCTGAAAAATTAAGGGAATGTTCCCCAATTAACATTTGTTCAGGTTCTGGTTTTTGTTTTAAATTAGTCTGTGACAAAAAAAAATCCTTGGAGCTTGGAGTTGCGGCAGGCCAGACAGAAACAATTCCTGTTTCTTTCTGGAAGAAGCCCACCGAAAGGGGCTCAGATTCTCCCAAAATAACCCCAGCCAGAAACAAAAAGCAGCTGCTGCAGCGGTTTGGGTCGGCTGCAGCTTTTAGGTGGGCGTATCAAAGCTGCGGCACATAACGAGACTCCGCAGAAAGGCCCGATAAGGTCAGATCTGTGAGGAAACTTTCAGGCTTTGCAGAAGGACACACCCTTTAATGGCACCACTGGTGTTTAGTTATCACAACACATGGCTCACGTCTCTTCTATCAATATGATTCGGATGCAGATTTGATGGGATTAGTCCAAGTTTCACTGCTGAATAGCCGACAAAGTAGCTGAACACATTTCTTTGTTTCTGCCAAGAATCTTTCATTCATTAAATTTACAGAGTTGACCGTATTTAATGCATTTATTCACAATTTAGCAGGAAATACTGAATTAAAGCTGCTCTGTCGGTATGCAGAGTGTGTGTGGCCTCGATAGTGGCTCCCAGGCAGCCAGAGATGGAGCCACCTGACCAGTCAACCGTGTTCAGCCAGGCAGCGCCGCAGACGCCTATGTGTGGTCCCTCAGGGATTTGCAGCGCCGAGTGTTTGGCCTCGTAGGGTGTAGAGCACAGACACAGCAACACTGGAGCACTGACATATGATTAGAATACGTGTCCTCAGGTGATAATCACTCCGCCTTACTTCACCTCTGTTGCCATGACGAAAGAGATGCAGTAGTTCGCGAAAGCAGTTCCAGATTTTGTCGCCACAAACCTCAAAGCGTTTCATTTTGATTTTATGGGAGAAGACACGGCATGGCATGATTGTGAGGTCGGGTTTGCAAAATAAAACCTGAAAAGTGTGGTGTGTACGTGAATTCAGCCTGATTAGGAAGGAGAGCTTTAATTAATGAAGGCAAATCAACACTGACGCTAACTTCCTGTTGCAATTGATCAATTAACTCCATGCTAAATTACGACTTCCTTTGATTTCTGTTTTTTCAAAGAGGCTATGTTTACACAGACGACATTAATGCTGTGGTTCTTATCTCCATTTTATTTGTTTTTGGTTATTTATTTTGTATCGCTTAAAATAACTTCCAGTTTCTGTGATCTTTGAAAGGACAAACTTATGATGCAATTATTAATATGATTTGAAAATGGTCTCTGAAAACAACAATATTATAATTTATCACAATAATTACTTGGAGAATGTATTGTCCAGTAACAGTTGTTGTGAAAGGCCGGGTGGCAGCATAATGTTGGATGGAAGTGACTCTTTATTAGGAATAGAGAATTTGGTCAGAAAATGAATGGATCTAATTCCTGCCAGAATCTGCAGAACACTTGAGTTTGTCACATAAATTTATAATTAAATCAAGGTGGCCGCATCCTTCAAAAGTCTTAAATTCTTTAGAAAAGGAAGTTTCCCAAAATATGTTAACCACAGGTCTTAAATTTGGTCTTGACAGGACTTATTAACTTCGTATATTCAGGGTAAAAAAAATTTCTGATGGGACTTTTCTGTCAGGCAAAAGGTTTGGTCGCACTCAGATGGTTGAAGCTACCCTTGGGTATGTTAGCAGCTAGCTAAGTAGCTCTTTGCATCAACTGTGCAAATGTATCACCAGTTGGTCTTGAATTTCTTTCTTAAATTTGAGTTGCTGAAATTTGCAACAACTCTGACAATACATAGATGTTTGTGGTTTAATGGTATGAAATACTTTACAAAACACTTTCTCCTTTTCTTTCTGCATGAAGCTACTTCCTGTTTAAAAAAAACTAACTTAGTAAAATATCATCGTGACTTTTATTTTTGCACCTACATTGAAAGTGGAACTAAAATAAGTATCTTTTATGCAAGCGCTCACAGTGTTTTCTTCTTTTTTTCTGTGACTTGATCAGGAGGTGACAGAAATGGTAGAAGTCGGCATGTGGTTCCACTTCCCCATATTCTGTTTCTAGAGTAAAGAGAAGCTGTGACTTTTCCCTGGAGCTTCAGTGTAACACGAGGTCGCTGCTGCAGCTGAGCAGACCTAATGTAGCCAATGGTAAAGCTCATTAGCGCGAGTTGAACAGGAAACGTTTTGGATGGGGGACTTGCTTCGTAAAGACGGGGGCAGCAGGTTCGTCAACATGGCTCCCACTCCATCCTGAAAGGAGCCAAAGCAGTTGCCATGACACTCTGAGTGATCTGCACGGCTTCCTCTGCGGCGCCTCATCGGTCAACTTAACTGTCTGATTAGTCAACAAGCTCACAAGGCCTTGTCGCCTCTCCACTGACACAGCGTTTCTCTTTTTTCCCCTCACATATCAACAACAATCTAGTCTCCTAACCCCGAGCCTTCATGCCCAGACAACACGACGATAAATTTCCTACCACGCAGTGAGTCGGCGTGTTCAATATACGTTCCAGCAACGGGAAACGTCAGCGAGCAACAAGTTGAACACCTTTCTTCTGATTGTTTCTGCTCTAACGAGAGTTTCTTGTGTTTTCCAGGTGCTGGGGAATCAGGGAAAAGCACAATTGTCAAGCAGATGAAGTGAGTGTCATTTTACTACAACAACTAATTGTTTTATTTTAAAATACGTTGAGTAAAGTCACTTAAAAAATAAAAAAAAATACAGGCTGGACAGAGATTACTGTGCAGCAGGAACGTTGTGGGTTCAAATCCCAGAGTTCTCTGGGTCCTCTGCCTTCCCCCCATCATTTTGTGTGGAACAAAAGGGAAAAAAAGTAGGACTTACATAATTAATCAAAATAATTAATTAATTATTGAAATAATTGTCAACTACTCTTGTTATTGTTTTTTAACTGGAGTTTACAGACTCAAAAAATCGTTTTCTAAAAGAATAAGACACTCAGAGTAGTAATTGCACCAAACTTGTGTAAAAAATATATATGTGTTGCATTTAAGAATAAAAAAGTCCTAATTTGTCTGTAACAACCCAGAGCTCCGTAAGAGGCGGTGTTAGCTTCGCAGGGTTCAGATTGTGTAATAAAACACTGAGCTTTTAAATAATTGTTTTAAAAAAACTATTATTTTTTAAATAATTGTTTCAAAAAGTAATTAAAACAATTATTAAATAATTGTTTAAAAAAAACAATTATTTATCTGCAGATGCATCCTTAGCTACAAATGTTCAAGGGTTCATTAATGGAATATAACTACATTAAGATAAAAACTCAATAGAATTTTTATTATTTAAAAAAAATAATTGAAATGCACTTCCCACATTGTACAAATTAAAAAGCTGCAGAATGTGCCATTTTGTTTATTCAATTAATTGAATAATCATCAGAATATTAGGCAACTACAATAATTGTTAATTGCATGTTTAAAAATATTCTTATTGTCACTAATGTTTTTGCTAAACATAATTTTTTGTTTGTTTGGTTTTGTTTTTTGCAGCCAAAATCCATACGATGTGCAAAATAAACAGTAGTTTACACCACAGGACATCATCTGGTCTCTGTTTCTGGATTGAAGTGAAACTGGCAGCTGAAATCAAACCCATCTACTAACACCAAATCAATCGGATTTTACAGTCACATATTTATAAATATCCTCAGTAAATATAGAAATGTCCTCAGTAAATATCAACGCACCAGAAACTTTTATTGTGTTTTGTTTCTGCTCTGTTCTTTTTGGATTTGTGGCGTATGAACCAAAGCAGCCGAGAGTTAGATGGTTTTCATCAGCAGCTCCATATTGAGAAAATCTTTTTTTCCCCTTTTTTCTTTATCTTTCAAAGCGGCGAGCTGAAGGACTCGCATGCAGCACTAGATAGATTGTGTCTTTTTGAGAAAGAAAAGTGAACAAACAGGTGGAGATAACATTTGCTGCAGGGCCGCCAGCTCGCACACGCTCAGCAGGAGCCGCATGCTGCCGACGCTTTTCACAGGAGAAAACAACAGGGATCACAGAGTTCTGCTGTCCGGGGTGTTGTTTGGGTTAGTTACTTATTTACAGACAAACGATGAAGGTTCTGTACGTTTCCAGGATCACTGAGAAATCTCTAAAAGTCTGGAATCTGATTAACGGATTAGCGGGATTAGTAGGAAAAGATAATTAAACTGGAAAAACTGTTATTCCAGCAATTGATTCTGTAGTTTTGCTCATCAGCCCATTTATTTTCCATCAGTTATTCATCTGCCTTTGTTTATGAAGCATCTTCATTAACAATTAACTCTTTATTTGTATCATCAATTTCCCACTAGGTCCATTTATTCTTCATCATCTATCTGCCTTAATTGTCTATTTATTGATTATATATGATTGCAAATTGTCATTATTACACCACAGCTCCTTCATCTCCAGTTTTTAAAGCCAACAGAAAATCAAAAGTAGGTTTTAACACGTTAAAGCTACTATTATCTCTAGACTTGCTGAACATGAGTTTTTTTTACTATAATAGTAACTCAATAAGACAGTTCCTAAAATTCATATCTTCTGCAGATCAAGAAAGCGACAATATAATTACCAACATACTTTTTAGAAAAAAATCACGCTCTGATACAAAACTGAAAAACATTTAAGCCTCTAATCTTACATTGTTTACAATCTTTTGAAGATTTTATCTAAATAAGATGGAACTGAATGCGTCTGTGGGGAAAGAAACACTCCCTAAAAGATGATAAAATAAAGGAAGAGAGAAATTTGAGTTTTTGTTTCTCCTGTTTTGCAGAATCATCCATGAAGCGGGTTACTCAGAAGAGGAGTGTAAGCAGTACAAGGCTGTGGTCTACAGCAACACCATCCAGTCCATCATCGCCATCATCAGAGCCATGGGACGTCTCAAGATCGACTTCGGTGAAGCCGCAAGAGCCGTGAGTGACGGGAGGGAGTCAGAACCGAGCCGGAAATCTGAATTTATGAAGCACTTTTACAGCCTCTTTCACATCCTAGCTACGTTTTCTCTTTCCAAAAAAAAAAAAAAAAAAAATCCTGCATGTCTGTTCCAGAAATTCGCATTTTAGCTTGACGTGTTTAGTTTTGCTTCTGATGGCGGATGAATGTGTTTTCGTGTTGCCAGGACGACGCCCGGCAGCTTTTCGTCCTGGCCGGCTCGGCGGAGGAAGGCTTCATGACGGCCGAGCTCGCCGGCGTCATCAAGCGACTCTGGGTGGATCGGGGAGTCCAGGCCTGCTTCAGCCGCTCGCGCGAATATCAGCTCAACGACTCGGCGGCATAGTGAGTCACACACACACGCATACTCACTCAAACAAATGGGCGGCTTGATCATCGGCTAGTTCACCAGATCGCTGAGTCACTCGCAGCGAGAACGCCGCGATCTGCTGGGTTGATGTGAAATTGCTGGCGTTTGGGTGCAAACAAATAGAAAAGGTGCTGCTGCAGCCGAGCAGACGCTGAAATGGAGCCGCAGCATCTGTCTGGACTTTTACTCTGTCAATATTTACCTTCCTCTGTCGAGCTAATAGAGTGCAGCTTCCAAACGCTGCTTAATCTTTGACCTTACACTTCAGTAGAAAACACACAGCAGTTCACTTCCCTCTGAAGCTAAAGTTTGTGATATTGGGCAATCTGAAATAAATGATACCACAAAGCAGCTCTTTTGTTTTTTAAGAGCAGCTTTGTTTTGTTGCTCTGAAGCAAACACAAGCTGTTCTGCTGCAGGTCACTGCTGGATCATTAGTTCCTCCAGTTCTACTTCCATGTGTTGGAAGACAAAAGAATGCTTGCAGATTTTTTTATAACCTCGATGTAACGAGTTTGTTATGTAATAAATACATTCAGCAAACAAAAACTAAAGGTTTCAGCAGTTTGAGGAATTAAAAAAAATGTAAGATAAGGTTTCCCTGAGAGAACCTGCCAAGCCTGCCGTGATATCGGAATATAAATATGCATCACACTGTTTATACTGTATTTTTAATCATTTTATTATCATCCTTCCACTTAACTTTAACGTGCCAAAATGTAGGAAACATCTGCCATGGTTTGAATACTTTCCCCAGGCAGTGTGAGCTGATCGGTGTGTGTGTTTTTAGTATCTGTGGGGTCCCAGGTGGGGTCCTGAGGGGCCGCAGCAGGTTCTGGCAGAATGTGGGCCAGCCCCCCAGACAGATGGCCAGTCCATTACCGGCCTCACACATCGGGAGCTTCCTGTCCAGCTACACATTGTTCAACAGTGGGAGGGACTGGAGCAGCCACTGGGAACCCACTGACCACTGGGAAAACAATACACACACACCAGGCTGAAAAGAGCAGAGATTAGATTAACAACTGGGCTCCTGTTTGTTGAGGCAAAGGTTTGGCCACTTAGTTACTGGGGTATTGTTTAAGTTTGACAAAAGGGATTGTTGCACTGAACATCTCCTGGGCTTTTATTTCACCAAAACTGTAACTGCAAAATGTTCTGCTGGCGTTCAGCCGACTCCTTGCAGTTCAGAAAGTAGACTTTTAAATCATGTTTTTAGTTTGTAAATCACTGAACAACTAAGCACCACAACACGCTGAAGATCTGCCGCTGTTGTATCAGCATGAAGAAGCTGCTTTCAGCTTCTATGCGCCACAAATCTGGAACAAACTTCAAAAACTGCAAAACAGCTGAAACAGCTATCTCCTTTAAATCGAGACAGAAAAATCCACCTGTTTAAAGATTTTTTTTTCTTTTTGAAACATTATAAATTAAACATTAATCAACAGTCTGGTGTGCAACTATGGAAAAGTTTAATGCTTCCATTGTGTGCTCTATAAATTTGTATTTTTGTGTTTTTATGATTTAAAGTACTTTGAATTGCACAAATAAATTTTGATTTATTGAAATGTGATTTTAGTTGCTTTAAATTTATCACGTTTGGTGCCAGAGGTGGGTGGAAATGAGCTACATTTCCTCATTGCCATTAACATGAGTAACTCTTTGAAAAAAATTTACTTTTAGGAGTATTTTTATTACTCTAAGGAATTTTATTATGAATCATCACTATTCTTTTGTTGTCGGGTATTATTTTGTAATTATTTATGTATATTATCATTTTGGTCCTGAAAATACTAGTCTGAATGAGATAATTTTTAAATATTAAGGGGTTTTGTTGCCTTTTACCAAATACTTTTTTACTCTTGTCACTTCTTGGACAGCTACTTTTTACTTTTACTTGAGTAAAAACATGCAGAAGTGCTTTGGTATAATTTTAGTCACTCTGCCCACCTCTGGTGGCGCAGAAGACGAAATGCTCGCCTCATTTCCTGCACTCTTTTGCTCTCTGTTTACATTCCTCTTCTCTGTGTCCCGCTCTCAGCTACTTGAACGATCTGGACAGGATATCCCAGCCCACTTACATCCCGACCCAGCAGGACGTCCTGAGGACCCGAGTCAAAACCACGGGCATCGTAGAGACGCACTTCACCTTCAAAGACCTTCACTTCAAGTGAGAACCTTGGCAGGGTTTTCGACTCAAACGCTTAATTACCTTTTTGTTCTTCCTGCCACTGACTCATCTCTGCCATAGAAACTCACTTTGAACACGTACAGCTGTAGGTTTATGACAGGGTGTTGCGCACATCAGCGGTGACTCAGTCGGGGCCTTTTGTTGACGCCATAGACAGGAAGTGAAGGGGGGCGGAGGAGCAGCAGGCACGATGATGTCACGATAGCAGGGATTGTTGGCGATTTCAGCATCACTGGTGATTAGATCAGAAATTGAACAATGAAAGGCTTTTCTTTTTAAAGCAAATGTGGACCTGAAATATTTCTTACCCAAATGATTCCAATGCTAAAGCTTAAAGTCTCATTTCTGTGTTTGGATCAATATGGGAGGAAAAAATCATACTGTGTGACATTTTCCAGCCTTTAATTTCAGTAAATAAAAATGAAATGTAAAACAAAAAAAAAATCACAAAAACAAAGTACCAGTATGTGCCATTTGTGCTGCAATGAGTTAAAGAGCAAAGGTCAAAGTGACCCTGATTATATAAAACCCAAAGCAGCAACAAACACCCTCACTGTGTTTTTGTGAACAAGCTTCAGTTTCTGCAGAGTTCTGGTTGTTTGGCGTCTTCCTGGCAAAAAAAAAGCTCAACTATTAAAATCGCATATTGGTAACTGTTGTATTTAAAGACCCAATAATCAGTAGATTATTGGATGATCCTTCTGGATGATTAAAAAACATAACTACTAAATTTACAAAGTATAATAAAACCAATTATCACTAATATTAACTTATAATATTGAAGATTTACAGCATATAGTCTGTAATTATAGATTTGACAAGAAAATGTCCAAATGTTCTCTTATTTTCTGGGAGGAAAAAGGCTCTTGACAGTAAATGAAGATTTGTTTTTTTTTACAAAAGACAAAATGGTCACATCTGCGGTTCTTATATTAGCGGTTAGCATGTGCAGCCTTCCTTGTTTAAGCACCTCGCTCTTCATTATTCACTATTAACTTCTTGTATGACCTCTGTTATTGGTAGCATGACGTGTTAGCTCTCGGGTCTGATGCATTCAGTAACCCAATAAAGGTGGGATTTATGGGTTTTGACCTATAAAGTTGAAAATCGGATAATTCTAGTTTTTTTTTTTTTTTTTACAAAAGATTGAGTGAAATCACAGAAATGTGAGTGATTATTTTACTGGTTGTGCAGTTTGCATTCGATACAATAACGCTGCTGTCTGCTCACCAGAATGTTTGACGTCGGCGGTCAGCGATCTGAGAGGAAGAAGTGGATCCACTGCTTCGAGGGCGTGACGGCCATCATCTTCTGCGTGGCACTGAGCGACTACGACTTGGTGCTGGCCGAGGACGAAGAGATGGTTGGTGAAACAGAATGTAGATCATACTTTATGGGTTGCTGAACACAGCTCATGACTTTCTTCTTCTTTTTTATCTCTTCAGAACCGAATGCACGAGAGTATGAAGTTGTTTGACAGCATCTGCAACAACAAGTGGTTCACAGACACTTCCATCATCCTCTTCCTCAACAAGAAGGATCTGTTTGAGGAGAAAATCAAGAAGAGTCCCCTCACTATCTGCTACCCTGAATATGCAGGTAAGGCACGGGCTGAATCCAAATGCATGCCACACTTTTCAGATTCTTATTTCTGGAAGAGAAAATGATAAAACTTGTAAATCACCAAAAATCCCAGTAAAATAAATTGATATCATTTTAATAGTGGTATGGATACTTCTACAAGGCTCTGTATATTTGGGGTGGCCGATAAGAAAGTTTTATCACAATATTTCATAGTACTATTGTGATAACAATAAACATTTATTACTTCTTTTTAAGCAACTGGTTGTGAATGAATAGCACAGTAATTATAGCTCCATAAACACAAATGGAGTTAATCACATTTACTAACGAAGTGTGATTTGTATTATCACACTGCTCACAGTAAATGCACTTTTTCAGATTTTTTAAAAATGTATTGATATTTGTTGATACTGTCATTGAACAAACAGCGGGAAAAAAACATTTGGAGGGATTTAAACATTTTAATTAGATTTTTCATGTCAACATTGAAAAAAATGTATCATAATAAATGATAAACGGTACAATAAATGCCCACCTGGAGTTTTGCCTAAATCTTTTAGGAAAGTAACAATATTCTATGTAGTTTTGATTTTTCTCATGGGGCTTTATTGTCTCGCAAAAACTTGAGTCGCGTGCAGTTGCCGTTACCGCTAACTAGCTACTAATATAACCTTACAAGCTAACCAGAAAGGTTAAAGCTAGCTATCTTTTAGCGTCTATCACAAAGTGCAAATCCATTTGGCTGGACGATGTTCGTCTTAGCCATTAGCTCACTTCTGTTGACAGAATTTAAGTACATTTCTGTCGTGACAAAGGTCTTAAAAAGTCTTAAATTTGAGTTATTGAGACCTGCAGAAACTCTGATGCATTTTGGTTGCCTCTTTCTGTGCGATGTGCTCCTTCGCCATCCTCCCGTCTGGCGTTCGTCAGGCTCCAACACGTACGAGGAAGCGGCTGCCTACATCCAGTGTCAGTTCGAGGACCTGAACAAGAGGAAGGACACCAAGGAGATTTACACCCACTTCACCTGCGCCACAGACACCAAGAACGTGCAGTTCGTCTTCGACGCCGTCACCGACGTCATCATCAAGAACAACCTGAAAGACTGCGGTCTTTTCTGAGCGACGAGAACGACCTGCTTTTGGTAGGAATTTGTCATTTATTTCTTTTATATTTCTCAAGGCTTTATCTTAGATTTTTTATTTCTTTTCTCCATGTGGGTGCTTAAAGAAGCGTTGGTGCCAGGGTCGAGCTCTGCCTCTCCTCCCATCATTCTTTCATGTCTCGTCTCTCCTCAGGCGGTGGAGCCAGCTCATTGTGCATCTTTTGTAGAGGATGAGAAGAGGATCAGTGATGGACCAGTGCTGTACTATATGCCACTTTTAACAGCTTTATTTATGTTTCTGTCTCGGAACATTCTCAACTAGCGTTATTACATTTGTGTAGGCTGTTTGTATCAACGTAAAAGCGTCACTTGTTTGTTTGGTTTTTTTTTTCTTTCTTTTTTAATCTTTGTTTTTAATTTCCAAGGAGTAGAGATTACAGCGTTCTTTGCCGCCATTTCTGGAAACGGAAACCTTGCCATTGGTTGGAAAATCTCCTCTTTTTTTTTTTCCTTTCTTTTCCCAAAACAAGAATGGAGGAAAGCGGAACAATTCCGAGTCCAGTTCGTTGGTACCTGTGCCTTCGCATGCCTTTTACTGCGGTCATAGTCTCGATGCTTGTTCTGTTGCCTGCTGAAGTTGTTCTATACATAAAGACGTAAACTGTTTTCATACTTTAGTGTCTCTACTATCTTCTTTGTGCACATCACTGAGCTGTCAGGAGGGGGAAAATATCTGTAGGTTCAAGGCAATCAACATGTAGCCTCTTCAGTCCGTTTAGCCCCGCCCCCTTTGCATTCCACCTGTCATGTCATTCAAAGGCCTTTCTGGCCAATCAGAGCTCAACACTGAGATGTATATTGTTACATTTAGCCCACGAATCTGGGGCTCTGGTTTTTAAACTGTACAAAAAAAACTATCAAATGTTCCCAATTATTCAGAAAGCGGTTAGTCAAGGCACTGAGCGTTTAATACACTCAAGTATTTTAAGTACAGAGACCAGGTTTGTTGCATTTTATTGTATATTTTAACATATTTGGAGAAGAGTTTAGATGGTTGTAAAGTTGAGGGTGAAGCGATGTAAGCCATTTTGGATTTTTGAGTATGTGAGGAAAGCATTCCCTGTATTTTAAGAGAAGTGTGACAGTCAGGTTGTTTCTCTGCGGTCCAGAGGAGAGACCACACACACGCGCACACACACACACACACACACACACACACACACAAACAAGCCCCGGTCTTTTCATGTAAAGAAACTGCCACAACTGTCAGTGTATGTGTATGTTCTTCATGTAAAGAGAATCTTTGTAGACTCATCTCCCTTATTTTGTTAATAAAAACCATTTACAAACCATGAATTGTTGTTTTCGTGTCTGTCGTAGTGTTTTAAGAGCCGTGTTAAACAGTGAGATGATATTTTAAACATTTTGGTTTGTCCAAAACTCTGTTGTGTTGAATTATCTTTGATGTACATTTAGGGAACAAGTGAGATTCTCTAATTTTGCATCAATAAATTTACTTTATTTAATGTTGGGGTATGTAACTTTTAACTTTTTTTTACAGTTATTAAAATGTAAAAATCAATTGTATAAATAATGGAAATCCCTCATTTTAAGTTATATTCTGAATTTAATTTACAGAATTTTGTAGAGGAACCTAATTTTGCTTAAATATAAACTGATGAATTTGATACAGAATTGAACCCTATAGAAATGTTTTAAATAAATGTTATTTATTTACGCTCTTCCTGTTACATAATTACAACAGAACCTCTGGACCATTTGAATAGAAAACTTAGTTTCTGAATCGAATCGCTGGACACTGAAACATTCACATATTACAAAAAAGATGATCAATGACAAAATTTAGTGCTAATTACATAAATAAAAATTAATTTTGGGATGAATCCCAGAAATTTTCTAGAAAAAGAACTAGGTTCAAAATTTTTTTTTGATAATTTTAGATTTTTTTGCAAATTTTCTGATTAAAAAATTATTTTGATTTTTTTTTTTTCAATGGCCCAAATACATCATATGTATTTCCCCTTTTAAAAATGCTCAAATGTTTTTTTCCCTTTTTCCTTTCTCTTTGTCACGTCTTATCTCTTTTCCCCTTTAGATCCGTTTCCCATAAACAAAACTCTGCATTCCTTACATTCCTCCTCACACCTGGAAATCTGGGATGGCTGAAAAGTTTCCTCTGCAGTTTTAGTATTGGCATTACTGCTAGGAAAGCTTGCGGTCATGAAACTGGATCATGTCACAACATGCGGCTTCGTTAGAAACACAGACATGAACATGCTTGAAACTGTCTGCCTGAACTCTAACCTCCTATTTGCCTTTACCGGTGATGTGAAGCAGCGTCTCGTCTGTTTTTGCATTGTAAATTTGTTGCGCCGAATGGAGTCAGTGTCGTCCTCTTGATCCAGCAATCCCAATTCAGCGAAGATGATTTGCATCGTGTAATATGTATTTGACAAAAATAGCTTGTGGTGAGAATAGAAATTTCATTGTGCAAGGTGGACATTTTGCATGTCCAACCAGCAGAGGCTCCAAGTGTCTCCCAGTTCTTTAAATGGACATTTCTCTCTCTGTCTCTGCCTGCAAGTGGAAATTGCTGCAGAAATTAATAATATTAAGTTATATACTCTAAACGACAGGGACAGGGTGTCATCAAATCAAGCTGATGCAAACAGGCATGTCTGACTTTAGTAATGATTGGTTAAATTGAATTTCACCACCGCAAATCAAATTTACCTTTTTCACCTCCTGTGGTTTATCTGCATGCAGGCCTTGATGTTAATCTGCTCAAATGGAAACAGAGGCCACGGTAAATCAGCTCCAAAAGTGTTCAAGTCGTCAGAAGCATGAACTTTACCTTTGAAAAGTCACAGCGCTTCACTAAATGCTACTGTTTACACAACCTGTGCTCTAAAAACTCTGGTGTTTAAATGTGTACCACTGACTGAGGGAAACAATCTAAAGTAACTAAACAATTGAGAATCACAATTAAGTGACAAAAATAAACATTTAATTTAATAAAAACACAAACGGGAGATTCAGAAAGTAAAAACATAAAAATTTCAATTCATTAGTTTTAGGAAAACAAAGTTAATCAATAATACATGTATGAAATAATGTAAACAGTTGGAATTACACTCCATGCCAGTAGGTGGCGATAATGCGTACCAAACGGTTTTTGCCAACCACCAATAAAAATCAGTTAGCAACATATTAGCTTCAAAAAGTCTCTATTTAAACTTAATAAATGTTTGAAACCAATTAAAATAGCTAATAGAGTCACTTTTTTGACTAAATTAAATTAACGTGTAAAACTCGAGTAAGTTCAATCTGCAGGAAACTGGAGTTCAGGTTGGCCTATTGAAGTTAATTTCCTTATACACCATAATTGATGACGTCGCATTCGGCAGACATTTCAAAATAAATGGCGTTTTATTTAAGTTTTGTGATTTTCTGCCATGCAGTGACAACTCTAAAAGAATTTTCTTCTGAAATGTTTTTAAAAATTTGTCAAATGTTGTGAAAATCAAATTTTAGAAACCCATCCAAAGCTGTTTTTTTACTGCTAAAGGTTTTCAAAAGCAATATGGCAAAGTTGTTTATCATATACCTATTTACTAATTAGTTGTAAATTTTATCCAGTACATATATTTTAAAATATTGTACTCAAATCATAAAAGTTCAGTGATTTTAACTATATAAATATTGCATTTACACTTGCAACTCAAGCAGCTCTCTTCTTTATTGCCGTTGTAAAAATGTAAAGATACTGAAGTGACTTTAAAACAGGTTTCAGGATTTAACAAAAAGCCACTGCACACACTTCTTTGCTGTATTTTATGTAAAGGGATGCCCTTTTTTCAAATGTGCATTTTCCACAGTCCGGGGCGCCCCACACGCTTTGCATGTGCTCTTTCACTGATGCTGATTTGCATCCGTGCATGTCTGCTCTTTCGCGGCATCGTCACATGTGCCTGTTGGAAGTTGACAGAAAAAGTCTGAAAGAGGCAAATGGGGGGGTAATAAAATAAATAAATGAAATAATGGATCCCATGGGGTCCACCAGCCGTCGGAGTTGAAGTGTGTTTGTGTGAGGATGAGGACGCTTTATTTATAGCAGCTTTAAAGATGACAGAGTGTGATGATGGGCGGCCATGATGCAGCAGAATGAAAAAGTGACACTGAGGTTTTCCCCCCGCCAGTAACCAGCGGGTGGGGGACGTTTGAAGTGTGTGTTTATGTGAGGGAAAAGGAGGAGTAGATGAAACAATAGAGGCTTTATTTGAGTCTTGCTTGCTGTCTGTTCTTCGCTCGCTCACTTTCTCTTGGGGCAGCAGTTGGTAACAGAGATAAGACAGGCTTATCGGCTCTGCAGCCATGTTGGACAGGATGCATTGTAATGCCACACCAGACCCTCCTCTACACCCTCCAGTCCACGCTGCGCATTCTGCAACTCTCCGGTTTGTTCTCAGAGCACCACCTCTGCTTCATTGTACACAGATTATTCATGGTTGACTCTTTTATCACACAGGCCCTCTATCTTCTAGGCAATTTCTATTTTCTGCCGCTTTGCTTTGCGTGCTGAAGTGGCCTCTCGAATAGCAAAGAGTGAGTCTGCTTTATGCTGTCAAACATGCCTGAGGGATCAGATCACTCATTTTCTTATAGAGCCAGACTTTTATTCTTGGTGTGATCTCAGATATTTGACATTGTTTGCCACTATAACAAAGATAACCAAGTAACTTTTCTTATTTGTTGGACTAATTTTCAGTGTGGTCTTTTAACTGAGTAGCTTTGCTTTTTGATCAACCCAGAGTCTTAATGTTCAGTTTTCTAATTGTTCTGATAATTATTTGGTTTATGTGTGAAAAGTGTGACGTTGGTTTTGGTTGGTTGCCACCCAGGTTGTCCATATTTCAGCCATGCAGCTTTTGATATCAAATAAGGTCGAAGAATTTGTAGATATTCTGGTTTCTTTATTAGTCAATTTCACTGATACAAAAAAACTGACCCTCAGCATAATGCTGCCACCACCATGTTTGGTGCACTGTTGTTTACAGAGTTGGGTAGTAGCAAATTAGATTTACTTTTTTTTTTTTTCTAAACTGTACTTTTAGAAATATTTTCACTATTTTACTTTTACTTTAATAATTTTATTGTGGAGTGCTTATAAAATTTCTGGATTTTCTACCCATCGAGTGAAAAACAAACATGTTTTAAACAAAAAGTCCCCAGACACAGACACACAGTTTCATAACTTTTTTGTTAACAGAAACTGGTTTGGAAAAATCTTCTTTTGTCTGATTTTGTTATTTATATTAATTATTGTCATTGTTGTTCCTAAAATAGCCAAAATTTCCCTTAAGTTTACATCATCAGATGGAGCAAAATATAATTTTTAAATGTCAAATGATTGATAATTTGATCCGTTACTTAGTACGTGAGTAGACTTTGTACCAAATACATTTTTAGTGTTATGGAATTTTTTGGACGGCAACTTTTTACTTTTACTTACGTAAAAGTGCTGCTCTTACTTAAGTACAATTTTTTGGTACCTTGCCCACATTTGATTGTTTAATTTGAATTGAAAGCGAGGTTTTCAAAGTTTTTGATTGACATGAAGTTGAAGAATTTAAAAGTAGTTAACATTATTAATATGCAAATAAAGAAAGATGAACAGCTGTGGAGCGTTTTGGTGCCACAGACATGCTCAACAAGTTTGCTTCCTCTTTGTCATTGTGACCAAACGTCTCATTCTTTGTCATCTGACCACAAAGTCTTTCTTTAGAAAACCATTTACTGCAAATATCAGCCAACCTTCAATGATTAAATATATTTGTTGGCCTCTCAGTTTATGGTGACGTAAAAGAGAAAAGTTCTGAACATGAATTTGTAAATCTGGTAGCAAATTAAACAAGTTTATTGTTCAATTTGTTGGGTAGTTCAAATAAAAAAATTTCCAGTATTTCCAATTTGCACGATTATCTGGTCAATGGAAAAATGCTAGTCGTGTTTTAGCTAAATATTGCATTTCTAATGTGTTTTTCCAAATTTGGGCAAATGAGAATATAAAGAATTTGACAAGAATTAATTCAAACTTATATTTAACTGGTCAACAGATTAAAATTGTCAGGGGCTTTCCGACTGTTTCAGGAAAATTTTGATGTGCTGAATCCAAAAATCACATTGGTTTTGATCAATCAGGTCAACTTTCTGAACTATGGATGCAACATAAACATCAAAAATGTATGACTTGTTCTTGCATCAGTTTCCTTAGAATGAAGCATTAAAGTGATGCCTAATGGTTTTTATTGATCGAAGTTGGTTCTGAAAATCTA